TAAATTTAGTCGGCTAAAATCTAATGGGGTTAGTTACAGTGTAATGCGTTTATTAAGCATTTCTCCAAAATTTCCAAACTCATTATATAGGTTTGATATTAAGGTTTTATCATGATAGACACCGATTTAACTGCGGTGACACACAACATGCCTTTATGTTAAATGGATAGTTCACCCCAAAATGAAAATTTGATGTTTATCTGCTTACCCCCAGGGCATCCAAGATGCGCGTGCACGGCATCCGGTGCGTGAGGTGTGTACGCGCTCTGGCGTAGTTTACGCAAGCGCCGGAAGTGATCTCTTGCGCGTATACGTCACTCATTGTTTACACAGTGCACAGTCATTGTAGGTACGATGGCTAATCAAAATGGTACTTACTTGTGCTTATCCGGATTGTTCAAACCGACTTAAAACGAAAAGATTACTTTCTCTCACGCAAACTCATTCAGGAGTGGTGACTTTCCACGTATTCCCAACTTCTGAGCCTGCTCGCCTGAAGTTATGGTTGATTGCTCTTCGGCTGGATGTCAACACACCCATTAACGTAAACTACGCCAGAGCGCGTACACACCTCACGCACCGGATGCCGTGCGCGCGTTTTGATGCCGCTTTCTGCCGTCTGTTTCCTTTCACACATCACAAAAATGAACCGAAACTCCGCATACTAGGCTTTTTTATTTATTTGTTGCACAGTTTTTCTTTCATTTTCTTAATTTATTATTTAAGTAAAAATATGTTTCTCGTATAGGCCTATTTATTTGTTATATATATATACAGCCTAGCTTTACTATGTTTTTCTCTGCTCGCAGAAGCGCTGCAGGTGCGTGATGTGATATGAAGACCATGTGACTCCTCATGTTCTGTTGTTTGCTGCTTTTTGCGCATGTAAAGTCAATCCCCGGGAAACAAATGTTAGTATTTTTAACGGGTCACAGACACTTATCCTTTCTAATTTAAAATAATCTTGTCGGTTAACGGTTAACAATCGGTTAACGAGCGTCGGTTGTCGGTTAGGAAAAATAACCAAAATGAACATCCCTACTTTGAGTGTAACTAAAGAGAAACATTGCCACACATTGATTGAGGACATTGTTCTCAGAAGCAGAGGTCTTGCAAGCATGTTGAATATTTTCTATACTGTGTGTTTCTTGGTAAAAATGTTTACAGATATATTTTTATTTTCTCATTTGGTAGCCAATTACAGTCCAATGTAGGCAGTCTGTCTTTGTTTCTCTGGATTCAATCAACACTGAAAGGTGAGCACTGAATGTGAAGTGTAACTTGTTTGAATGTCCAACCGCAAGAAATACAATATTTTTATATTTTCCCAATGAAATATGAATTATGAATTAGCATGTTGCTATGTGGTTGCAAAGGGTGGTTGAAAGGGCATTGATAGGTGGTTGCGTACAGTTTAAAAAAATAAATAAATATATAAAAAATAAAAAAAATAAAAATTTCACACGAACCTTCAAAAATTCTGGGTAATTTGGGGTTCTTTCAAGAATATTTAAATAAATCTTACCAACCTGAAACTTTTGAACAGTAGTGTAATTTTGAATGTTCATTTCCCCTACAGTTGGATTACCTTTTCTGTCATCTAACAATCGCAAGTAAATCTAATCTATAATGTCAAAAAATGTATATCCAGTAAAGTACTGCAAATTGACTTGTAGCATTTAGACATTTAAAGTTGTTGCATTAGCAAGCACCACTAATTAAGCTCCTCACAGTCTATCATAATTCACCATAACAAGATTTCTAGTCCAGGTCTGTATAAAGAAATAAAGGTTTATCAATAAAAGGCAAAAAGTTTGACCAGAGACCCTTCCGTATATGCAAATCTATCCTGCAACAGCTGGAGGGGCCAAGAAATGACCCTTCATCCAACCCTAATTTTCACACACACACAGAGCACTGTAAATGTGCCTTTCAAATGCACACAAGCACACACTTCATCAAGCTGATTAATTACCACCCAATCACGGCAAGGTACTCACCTCATTTTTCATAATCATGCCAGCATATGATCCCAGATTTGGTTTTGAACAAGCACCCGAGTCATGTCCGCACACTCCTGTTTATTACTTTTTAATGCAACCATAATGACTGCCCCACTGGTCCCATTGATCAAGATATCCCATAAAACCACAGACCCCAGGCCGTTTTTCAATATTACTGACTTAATATTTCCAGGTTGAGGACAACATGATAGCCTGCTGTAATGACATGCCAGTACTTATATTCTGCATTACCAGAGGGAGGCTAATGTTTGGGGAATCTAGACCTATTTGAGGCACAAAGAGGTGTTTGTGTGAAGAAGCCGTGAAGAACTATGATCCATGTGTTCAAAAGCCTCTACAGAGGTTCTCCTTCTATCAGAGCAAAGCTGAGAGCAATTTTGAAAAGCAATCTAACACAGGCAAAGGGATATTGGGAGAATGTGTCTGGATACCATTGCAAGCTTTGACCTTGGACTAGTGGGAATACATGTATGTATGTGTGTGTGTGTGTACTGTATGTCTTCAAAGCTATACGAGTGCCTTTACCTCAGTGCATTTGATCAGCATTCAGACATGCATGTGGGCTGATTTGGATGGACATTAAAGGTGACCTATTATGCCCTCTGATGACCCCAGAGTGTGTGTGTGTGAAGTTTTAGCTCAAAATACCTTACAGATCATTTTTATAGCTTGTTAAAATTGGCACTTTTAGGGTACGAGCCAAAACGTGCTGTTTTCGTCTTTCCCTTTAAATGCAAATGAGCTGGTGCTCCCGGAGAAGAGGGCGGAGCTTCAAAAGCTCAAACTCCGGCAATAACGGTGCTAGCCTTTGCAAATAAACACTCCACTATTAGTACAAGCCTGTTATCTTGACAGAAAACCCACTCGGTTTAAAAGTCAGTCATCTTATTGTACTGTGCATAAAAAATGCACTTTATGAATTACACAGACGGGAGCACGGCGCGATAAAAATAACTCATGGTGCCATACAAACTTTATAAGCCCCACTTGTGATTATGAGCTCGACTAATTCCAGCGGTCGACTTCACATTGCTTTCATATGCAATTTATAACTCCCACATTCCTATTTACTATCATTCTGGTAGCACGTGAAGGCAGCATCAGTGAAAACTAGGGATGTAACGATTCACTCAACTCATGATTTCACGATTCGATTCGATTCACGATTTTTTTTAACAAAATGAGATTTAAGACAAATTATAAATTAAATGTGTCCTTTTATTATTTGAATCGTCACATATTTAAATCGATTTTCAACCGGCTCGCGGTTAATCGTTACATAACTAGTGAAGACAGACAATGGTAGCTTTAGCAACATTAGCCTTACAAAGTGGCGGGGCCTGTGGCCAATGTGACGTCACATTAGCACCAAGTCGGAAAACAGGTAGTTGGGAGACACTGCTTATGATTTATGGGGATTAAAAAAAAGGAGTGGGTGGATTTTTATAATTATAGGGTGGTTGTGTACACACACTGCCAACACAATTTATGCCCAAACACCATGCAATAGTGAATTTTGCATAATAGGTCCCCTTTAACAAGCAAGATGCACGGAAGTATACATTTCCAAACATAGTCTAGGTCTCCCTCATCCTTTCCTGGCTAGGATGCTGTAGCCAGAAGAAAAAAACACACCCAAATCATAGTTGATCAAGTTTTCAACTTGATCTTGCGATCACTGAACTGGAAGCTCCACTTTCCTTCAGATGTCAGAAAGTAAAGGAAAGTGAGACAGAACTGCTCCTGGCTCAGAAATGAAGAAACAACCAAATCAGAGCACACGGAATATCATGATTTGAGTGGACAATATCAATTACTAGTACACAAGAGAGTGAGTTATGCCAGGGGCATTAGCATTACTGCTGCCAATCAGCAGCTGGAGCCTAATTCAGCCAACAGCAAAATCACATCACATGGCCAGTGAGGAAGGCTCAGTCCACAGCTTAAAATAACAACTACCGAGATTGCCATACAGCCACAGGCAATCCTTCATAGAAAAACAAACTAAAAAGAACTGGATGCATGCAAATAAAAGTCAAAACTCCACTAACATAGTTTATGTTCATGACAAATAGGTTTACTATTACAGAGAAAACGGTCTAAATATATGAATATGCAGTAATCTGAGCATTTACACAGCCTTTGAAAGTAGAACCCTATAGGGTGAATTCCAAATGGTGTTATTAAAATAATCCAATTTGGAATGAGCAATAATGGATGCAGAAGCATTATCTGCCTACGAACACACATTTTAACTGCTATAAAGATTAATTTTCCTGCTACTTTATCAAGACAGCATTCTGATTAAATTTTTTTAAGTAGTCTCTTATGCTCACCAAGACTGTTTATTTGATCAAATATGCAGTAAAAAAAAACAAAAACAAAAAAAACCAGCAATATTGTGAAATATTATTATAATTTAAAATAACAGTTTTTTTTATTTTAGTATATTTTAAAAGGTATTTTATTCCTGTGAAGTTGAATTTTCACTAGCCATTACTCCAGTTTTCAGTGTCACATTATTCTTCAGAAACCATTCTAATATGCTGAATTGGTGTGTTTTATTATCATTGTTGAAAACAGCTATGCTGCTTTTTTCATGAAATATATAATTTTTCAAGATTTGTTGTTAAGTAGAAAGTTCAAAAGAATGGCATTTATTAAAATCTTTCATGACATTATAAATGCACTTACTGTCAATTTTGATCAATTTAATGCATCCTTGCTAAACAAAACTGGAAAAAAATTAACCCAAACTTATGGTAGTGTAACTCTAACAATTAAATAAAATTTAATCAAATTAAATACTTTTTTTTTTTCTATGGGACTGAAGTTATAATCAAGGTATGGTGATGCACCCTTTCAAATGAAATTTGCCTATAGGTTTTCAAGCTTTTACTTGGACAAAAATGATCAGAATCAGTCAACAGAATAAAACACATGCACACACACACTCATACATTCACTCATACTCACTGCAGGTGGAGTCTGCTTCATCCGAACCATCTGGACACTCCGGTTCTCCATCACACCTCCATCGGGCCGGGAGACACTGCCCATTCTTACATGCAAAGTCTGTTGTGGCACATGTCTTTTTTGCTGTTGAAGAAAAGAGAGAAAGGTAAGTATAAGGGCATATACATTAAGGCTGTGTTTACACAAGAGGTATATTTGAGTTCAAAGGTCAGTTTCTGATGTACCTGCTTTTTCGGAAGGCGGAATAACTATTTTCCAACAACAGTGAAACAAACCAGACTACTAAATCTAGTCTGCAGGAGATGCCATGACAAAATTAGATCACTTGAGAAACTTGCACTAGATAACAACTGTTCTGGTGCAGAAATAAAGAAAAACATGAGCAGTAAAAGCCCCACGCTTCAGATTTAAACAACAAACGGCAAGTGATATGAGACTAAGTGCACCGCGTGTCTCTGTCGTTTCTTCTTGTTGCATTTATAGTTTAATTGGGAAGATAATTTGAATCAATTGAACACACAGCTCCAGTGGGAACAATTACAAAGGCCGAGGTACACATGTCTGTGAATTTATGAACCCTTACTTTTGTTTGTGTATGTGTGTGGCTGAAGACTGCTTTGCTTTACGTCCAGTAAATTTGTCGCTGGGTAAAAGAGCCTGAAGGGAGTGCAATTGATGATGTTGTCAGCTCTCTGGGAGGGATACCAATAAGAGCTTTATCAGTCAGAGAGGACACAGTGATTTAACACTGTTCACTCGTTTGGCTTTTATCATGTGCATCAATTGAACACATGCAGTGCCTGGTCTGGGTGGGTGTGCTATTCTCGAATGCCAAAAATTAATTCTGTTTTTTTCCCCCGCAATCGATACACCTATAGTAAATCAATCAGCTGAAACAACATACTTTTATTTTTATTTTTTTTAAAGGTAACATGAAACCTGAAACATTCCGAACCAATTTTGTTTCTATAATATTATGTAATTCGAGGGAAAATAGGACAACATTCAGACCAGGGAAAAAAATAATAATAAATCTTTCGGCAACTGATTGGATGACAGAAGGTATTTGTGTCAACAGCTGAAAAAAAAATAGATAAGTTGTTTTAGAGGCTAAACAAGTTATTACATCCTGATGAAAATGTGGAAAATGTGCACCAAAATCGATTGTTCACAATAGGGCCAAGAAAGTGCATTAACAATGTAAATATGCACATTGACAACAATATGCACACATTGACAACAACATTTATTCAATGATTTGAAAAAAAAAAGACACAAATCTGCCAAAAAAAGTACACTCCTCCATCAAAATAGTATAAAACAGTTAACCTAAACGATCAAAAACCATTTTCGCTGATTGAAATAAAATAAATAAATATTAGATTAAAATCTTAAACTTAAAAAAACACAAAAAATACACAAAAATGTTGACTTAACAGCTATATATATATATATATATATATATATATATATATATATATCAGTCAAACAGATAAGAGGTGAAAAATCATGAAAACCAACCAAAAGACAGCAGAAAATGTCAAACAGTCACTGAATTGCAACAAACCAGACTGAAAGAGATATTCTGTGAAATTCTTCTTTGGAACGGTGAGCAAATCCCAGGCCCTTGCCTCCCATCAGAACAAGAGGATTTCTTCTAAGTCTCCCCTATCTCCCCAGCCCAAGCTACCTTACACTGAAACAAGCCTAGAGATTTAGCAACTTGCACATCATAGGGGCTATGTTCCCCTGCCCCTTATCTTCCTCTGGAACCCAGAGGCAGTATGTTATGGGTTGAGCACCTCCAAAGACTACAGAGAGAGGTGGTGGGTATGCTCTGAGCAGCGCTTAATTACCAAAGATCCTTCACTAGCCTTATCTCAAGGACAAAGCTTGACCTTGTCACACCCTTCATTCCTTTCAAGCTGAACATAATATTAATTTTCTTCAAGGTAAAGCATATCATTTTGTTCATTGTTAATGTAAGCCATTTGTAGGTTGATTCCACAAAATACCAAAAAAAAACAATAATTATACAGTACTTGTAGAGTAAAAAAAACTGTAATTACTAGTGATTAATTGCACCTAACATTAAAATTTGTAATCACAAATATATTTTCACACTGAATCCACTGTAGATGTATGTATAGAAACAACATAAAGACAATATATTTCAAATATTTGTTCAACGGCATCTTTTTGCTAAGCACTATGAATGAAGGCAAGTATCACAGATAGGAATAGTGAAACTGATGTCTCACTATGTCTATTACTAGATTTTTATCCATTTCTGGGTAAAAAAAAAAAAATCATATCATTCAACATAACAGTAAAATCTGTGCCATCATTTGTTAACATATAATAGGCATATATGTTGCATTGGTTTGAGAACACGTGTGAGCTCAAGTGTTGGTTTTACTAATTTTCCCGTAGGACTGCCAATGCAGGCAGGCAGCTTCAAGCACCGACTCATGGGATGTGCTGATTAAAAGATGGTATGTATTACAAGCAGCAAATACTTCATTATGCAGATACTCACACTAGGCACACATACATAAAGATTGCATGTACTGTGCCTTGATTTGTGAGCCATACAAAAATCATAAATCATGCACAAGGCTGCACAAACAATAAGCGCACACACTCTGACTTACAACAATCATCACATGTCATATATAACCATCAGGCCTGTCGCTGTGCAAATGTTATTTTTCTCTATTTCCCTGGGACTTCCAGGAATTGAGTGTGTATTAGTGTGTAGAAACAAAGCAAGAGATGTGCGTGTGAGTTTTCTGCAAAAGTAGGCAAAGCCATGACATTCCCAATGATTACTGACAGGACTGCTGATCTGTGATGGTTAGCGGATCGGTGACCTCTTTGTGTCCGCTGCCAGCGTTCCACAGAATGGGCAGTCTGCACGGGAAACAAATGCAGCTCAAGGTCAGCATCCTTCAATTTTCACAAACCATTTCCTCCAATCTTCACAGGGAACTAAGACCACAGTCTAAACACACTTGACACATTCAGCTTCCTGAAAACTGCCAAATTACCAATGCAATTTTAAAAAGCAATGAAGCAGATGGGAAACTGTCATTCAATCTACTTCAGCATGGTCTAAAGAGCTACTTAAACACTATGAGCTATGCACTTTATTGCTTTATTTGCTTACTTTGTGGTAACAAACTAATGCCTGAAGGTGGTTAAGACGTGAACAGCTTTTTGAAGCAGTAGTCATTTATAAGATTCTAGGCACTCTACGCTGGTCTAATGCTTGTTAAGTTTGATGCAAAATTCAATAGTCTAAGCAGCTGGAAGAAATAAATCAGTGATACCAGATCAGAGGTCTATAGCGTGCTGTTTGGGGAGGTGCTGTGATTGACTGGCTGTGGTTTATGTGGTTCTGAGGACTCGTTTGAGATAAGAGAGCCCACCTATTATAGGATAAGGCAATCGCAGAGCCATCTTGAGCAGGGCTATAAACATGGACAGGTCATAATCGTAAATGAAGTCTGTGAAGAGAGGCGCCTCAGTGGGTCACCTTTTTCTAGTGGGATCCCTTTATTTCTTCACTTGTCTGTTTCAGTCTCTCTGTCATTATAGCCATTCAAATCATATAACATTTTAAAGCACAACGCTGGCATGAAGGATGAGCGATATATTGAATATTTGGAATATATTGTTGATGATTTTGTTCGCAACAGAACACAGTAAAAACAAATCTAAGGTATAAATATAAACAAAAATTATTCCTCCTATAATGAAATGGAAAATGTGATTATTACAAAATGTGACTAATATTTTATTTTTTTTCTAAGCATTTCATTTACTAATCTATGTGAGCAAATACATGAATACTGCATAAATATTGATATATGCATAAATATATTACAGATATCATATTGATCATGATTATTTAATCAATTTCACACATCTTTCTTTTGTTTTGTTAAAGGGGTCATATGATGCGATTTCAAGTTTTCCTTTCTCTTTGGAGTGTTACAAGCTGATTGTGCATAGATAAGATCCCTGAAGTTGCAAAGACTAAAGTCTCAAAACCAAAGAGATATTCTTTATCAAAGTTAAGACTTTGCCACGCCCCCCTAAAACGGCTCGTTCTAACACGCCCCCACATATCTACCTCACTATGTGGAAATATTAGCATAATGCCGCCCAAATGTGCACGCAAAGAAAGAAGGCGTGGTTTCAGTAACCGCAGTTAGTGTTGAAGCAGCCATGTCAGGGAGACGCTGTGTGTTTCAGTGCGATAGCAAAAGCACTTTATTTGGCCTTCCGAAAGTAGATGCATTTAGGAATCTTTAAGATTTAATTACTTAAGGTGTGTGTGTGTGTGTGTGCGTGTGTGCGTGCGCGCGTGTGTGTGTGTGAGCGAGAGAGAGAGGGGGTCACTCACAGTGGAGTCAGCTGTCTTAACAGTGGCTTGTGTACTGCAAACACATACCAGCTTCATCACTGTGTCTGTCACGCGACTCTGTTCCCCTTTCGGGCTCTGTCTTTACATTTATTTTGAAAGCTGAAGCTGCGATTATGGTAAGGGGCATTACATTTCCGACGAGTGCTTGCGGTGTTCGGCCAATCACAATGCACTGGGTCAGCTGGCCAATCAGAGCAGACTACGCTTGTCGGAAGGAGGGACTTTGTAGAAAACGAAGCGTTTGAGAGAGGCGGGGCATAGAAGACCTACAATAATGTACAGTATTTAAAAAATAATGTGTTTTTTGAACATTAAAGCATGTCAACATATTCTGTAACACCAAATACACAAAATAATGATCTTTAAAAAAGCATCATATGACCCCTTTAACACATTTAGTTTTTACATATTAATTTTTTTTTTTCACATTTTTATTTATTTATTTTTTTTACAAGAAAGAAAAAATAATAAATCAGCTCTTTAGAAATCAAAGAATAACATGAAACAAATATGCCCTACATGGCATGTTACAAAAAGTTTGTGTACAGAGCTGTATGGCCATCCATTCTTCTTGATGTATACACACAGAAAGACAAGCATACACAGAACCATGTGCAATTCATACTCTAGTAATTTGCCTCCCACTACAGCCTAGTTCTGTAAGATTTACTGCCTGTATTATCACAGTACT